TTTTTAAAATGTAAGTTACATAAATATATATTTTTAAATGGAAAGGGACTATATAATGAGTAGAATGTTCATTGCTACTCTTAAAAAGGAGTCAAAACACATATCCTCAGCAGTGACTGGAATATATGATCATTCACAAGGCTATCAATTTTCTTGACAGTTTGTTATTTCTTTTTTTTTAACATATGTATTTTTTTATTTCAGAATGTTACAGACTTAAACCTAAGGCATGAAACTACAAGAATTCTAGAAGAAAATGTTTTTTCTTTTTAATAAGAAAAAGACCCTGTCATTTTAAGTTTCCAATAAACCCAACACTCTAAAGAAAAATAAGTATGTTCTTAAGTCGACAAGGCATCATTTTGAAGCCCATGCCAATTATTACTAAAAATGCTTAGTATTTCAGTTATCAAATAAATGTACTGTACAAAAATACCTTCTAAAAGGTTCTACCTAAATAACTGAAAATTATCCTCAATCATTTTGCTTTCTGAATCTATATTATACAAGTACCAACTCAACATTTATAGACAGCGAGTCACAAAGCAGTTTCCTTTAATTCACAACTTATAATTAATCTAAAACTGATTGGTCTGACCTCTCCATTCAATGAAAGTTCTTCAACACCACATACTTTTTCTTCAAACTATTCTTGCTCTTAACTCTAGCTTCAATGACTCCTAATAACTAACATTCATGACAATTTGTCTTTGCTGTTGCTTAAAAGGAAGGCACTGGGACAAGATTGAAGGCAAAAACTCCAAGAGAGTCAATTGCCTTTTAATTTCCAAAGAAAACACTATCCTCACTCTCTCAGGAAAATAAAACTCCCTCAAAATCATCAATACAATATTTCAAAAAGCCCATTAAATTTTATTTGCAATACTATAAACTGTAGTCAAATACAATTTCTAAATATAAATAATGCGTCTACTTATAATTTCTAGACATAAATACTACAGAAAAATGATGGAAGTGAACAGAAAGGGGCTTGAGAAAAACTCAATGATACAGGAGTTTTCCTTTAAACAATTTATTATTTGCCTAACAGTCAAGCTTATCTCATGGGAAACAGGAATAACTTTATTATAAAGAGCTAGACATTGTAAAAATAGGATTCTACCTATATAATGTAAACAACTTAACCTGCAAATATTACTACTACATAAAATTAAAGAGGTGTCAAAATCCTGTAAACAAAAGAATATTAAATATTTCTAACATATTATTTTGGTAAAATCAAATTCCACAAGACAATATACTACAAAAAGAATGGTACGCCTAGTATTTAATTCATAATTTCCATTAATTTATGGGTTTACATTAAACAACTGGTATTAGACACAACTATCTATAAGTGAACAAACATTGTGATTTTCAATAAAGATTCAATAGCTAATTTTCTTGAAAATACTTTACTTATCAGTAGTACCTTCAGGGATACTAAAATATAAAGTGTTTCTTTTATTATGAAATTTTCCCTGATGCACGTCTAAAATTCCACTGTAATACTGCAGTAGTATTCATGGGCACAAATCAGACAGCTTTTTATTCAAATATTCCCACTCTCCCCAGGAAAGCAGTGGAATGTGAGTCTAAGGATTGTTTTAATAGTATCTGAACTGAGCCCACTTGTACAAATACTTATAATTTTATTTGGTAATGAAACATACAGTCATCCCTCAGTATGTGCAAGGGATTGTTCCAGGACACCCAGCATACCAGAATCCACAGATCCTCAAGTCTCTTAATGGTGTAGTATTTGCATATAACTATGTACATTCTCCCATACACCTCATATCATTTCTAGATTATTTATAATACTTAACACAATGTAAATGCTATGTAAATAGTTGTTATACTGGATTGTTTTTATTGTTGTATTGTTATTTTTTATTTTTTTCCCCAAATATTTTTGTTCAGTGGTTGCTTGAATCCACAAATGTGGAACCCATGGATACAGAGAACCAACTGTAATTATTTTTGGGAAAAGTACAATTCATTAAAAAAAAAAAGTCACAGTAATTTCCCCAAAGACTGCCCTCATATGAGTTTCAGCTGATTTCTTACACATATAAAAGTTATTCTCCAGTTTCCATTTAACAACTTCTTTTCTATGAAAAAGGCTACTAAAATAATATTTAAATAGCTGTGTTCCAAATAAAATGCAACGAATTTTTGTATAGTGTCATTAAAGAGCTTTTTTTCTTGTGAATAACCTACAAAATCATTTAGAAAATAAAATACCTAAACTTTCTTGAAGGTATATCTATAATCCTTGAGACCCCTGAAGGTGTTAGTTTCATAAATGAATAATGTGGTAATTTTTCTACAAGTTTTGGTAAAATATTTTTAAATCATGAAAGAGAGACAAAAAGGAGAAAAGTCAAATCATTAACCCTATATGCAAGGAGGCCTACAAAACATTTTCAGAAATCTGGCATGTATTTACCTTCAAATTTGCTAATAGTGGCTTGTTTTGGCCTCCTTCTAGAGTTGAGAGAAATTCTAACGAACAGAGAATGTATTTCATGGTAGGAGGAAAGACAGTGGGAAGCTAATAATAAAAACCTAGTTAGCAATAATATCAATATCCATGGAAATAACACTTAGAAATAGCTAAACATGGTAACTTTATAGCTATATGCCCCAGCCCCCACAAAAAACTAAAAATAAAAAGAACATTTAACTTTGGGGATTAGTAAACTTAACATTTAGGATTAGTAAATTAATCAAGAAATATGTACATAAATAGTAGGTTCAGCAATTTTCTTCATCTTGCAAATTAATCTCCCTTATTTCTTTTCAAAATAAGATGAAATAAAATTATTTATTTATAACATAAAAATGATTATAAATGTAATAACAAAAATTCAAATTCCAACAGTGTTCTAAGGTTCACAAACCTTTAGGCTGAGTATCAGATATTAAAAAAGAAATGCCATCATCATCTCTTCGCTTTTCTTTAGCACGTGCAGACTGCTTTGCAGAATTGTTATCTACTTTCTTACTTGGTTGTAAACCCCTGCAAAATAGAATTGTATTATACTTGAAATAAAAATCCAATAGGTTACAAATACATTCCCATATGGCAGACTGTATGATCTGAGTAGTGAAAAAAATTCTGAACTCAGATTTGAGAATAACTTCTCCTCCCAATTCTATTTTAAAATTCCTCAAGTGTCTTTGGGGGAAAAAAAAAAAATATCCACACTGCAGGATTGTGCAAATGGAAAATGAGCAAAAGAGTAATACTATACAAATATTAAATAGGTTACAAATACATTCCCATATGGCAGACTGTATGATCTGAGTAGTGAAAAAAATTCTGAACTCAGATTTGAGAAATAACTTCTCCTCCCAATTCTATTTTAAAATTCCTCAAGTGTCTTTGGGGGAAAAAAAAAAACCCAGGATATCCACACTGCAGGATTGTGCAAATGTAAAATGAGCAAAAGAGTAATACTATACAAATATTAAATAAGTCAAAGAGGTTTAAAAAGTAAAACTCCAACAACACAAGTACCATGACAATCCAACCTATGTGTAATCAGACAATCATAAGCCAAAGCTAATTTTTAATATATTGCAAGCATGGTTCATATATCAAAAGGTAAGTACAAAATAAAGTATGAAGTGCGGTAACAAATTCTAGCTACAGAGAAAATAAGTTAAAAATCTAAAGTACTGGATAATACCTAAAATATAAGGTTGAGTGGAAAACAAACCAGTTTTGGAATGATAAGCATAATGTCACTAGTAATCAAATTTATAAATACAAAACATACTAAAAATATAAGTATATACATAAGAAATAAAATATAAAAACTTAGACTGGAAGGATTCAAACCTATCTGGATAATGGATAACTCCAAGGAGGGAGAGTAACAGAATCAGTGAACAAAATCAAAAAGAAATACTAGAGATCAAAACACTGAACAATGGCTTTGATGGGCTCACTAGAAACTTCATCTGTATTTACAATCACTCCCTTTGCCATCACTTGCATCACCAACTGAGCTCTGCCTCCTCCCCCCGCCCTTCCATGAAACCGGTCCCTGGTGCCAAAAAAGTTGGAGACTGGTGCACTAGTAGACTGGACATGGGAAAGGAAAGAATCTTTGAATCTGAGTATACACTAAGAGAAATTTCCAAAACAGGCAAGTAAGAAAGAAAAAAAAACCTGGAAAAAACATAATATTGAAGAACTTTGGGAAAACTACAAAAGGAGGCCGGGCGCGGTGGCTCACGCCTGTAATCCTAGCTCTCTGGGAGGCCGAGGCGGGCGGATTGTTTGAGCTCAGGAGTTCGAGACCAGCCTGAGCAAGAGCGAGACCCCGTCTCTACTAAAAAAAAAAAAACAAACTACAAAAGGTATAGTTCTACTATGGGGAGAAGAAAGAAAGAAAGAAACATAAGAAATATGTGCAGAAATTGTGCCTGAGAATTTCCCCAAATTAATGTCAGGCACTAAACAACAGACAAGGAAGTTCAAAGAACACCAAGCAGGGTAAAGTTCCCAAAAAATAACACCTTGGCACATCATACTAAATTGCAAAAAATCAAAGTTTTTTTTAAATCTTCATAAAAGCCAGAGGGGTAAAAATCCTTAATTACAGAGGAGCAAAGATAAAAATTACTTCTGAGACTTTTCCTCAGAAACCATGCAAGCAACAATAGTGTGGAGTGAAATCTTTTAAGTGTTCAGAGTTCAGCCTAAAACTTCCTCTGAAAGCTTCCTCTGAAAACATCTTTCAAAAGTGAAGGAGAGATAAAGACATCCACAGACAAACAAAAAAATGCAGAAATCTGTTGCCAGCCAGCCTTGCAAGAAAAATCAGAAGTGCTTTAGAAAGATGGCAAATGGTATAGGTGAGAAACTCAGATCCAAGTAAAGGAAGAAAGAGCATCAGAGGAGGAATGAATGAAGGTAACATAAAAACTTTAATTTTCCTTATTAAACTGTAAATATCTATAATAGAAAAGAAGAAAGCTCTAAAATGAGTACTCTAAGCTTCCATCATAGGAAACCAGAAAAAGAAGAGAAAATCAATTCCAGATTACAGAGAAATAAAAAGAAATAATAAAAATTAAAGCACAAATCAAAGAAATTAAAAACAGAAAACTGATAAAATCAACAAAATCAAAAGCTGCCTTTTTTAATAGATCAATAAAATCAACAGGCCTCCAGAAAGGCTAAAAATATAAAGCATATAAATTACTAGTTTCACAAATGAAAGAGGGGGCATCACTCTAGATACCATAAACAACAAAAGAATAACAAAGGAATATTATGAACAACTTTATGACCAAAAATTTGATAACCTAGATGAAATGTACCAAATCCTTAAAAAAAAAAAAATTATCAGCCAAACTTGACACAAGAAGAAACAGACAATCTAAATAGACCTATATCTAATAAAAAATAAATCAGTGATTAATAAATACAAAACAAACAACACAAGGCTCAGATGGGTTCACTGGTGAATTCTACAAAACATTTCTGATGAAATGATACCAATTCTTTACTATCTCTTCAAAATGACAGCAGCAGAGGGAACACTTCCTAATTCATCCTATGAAGCCAGGATTGCCATAATACCAAAAACAGACAAAGATATTCCAAGCTAAGAAAACTACAGATCAATACCTCTCATGAGCATAGATGCAAAAATACTCAGCAAAATATGAGCTCTGGATAACCAACACAAAGAAATGACAAAAAAAAAAAAAATCCAGGAGTTGGAAGAAAAATTCACTAAAGAAATTGAAATATTAAAGAAAAATCTAGCTGAACTCCTGGAAATGAAGAATTTATTCAAGGAACTACAAAACACAGTGGAAAGCCTCAAGAACAGGGTAGATCAAATACAAGAAAGAATCTCAGGGATTGAAGATAACACCTTCCAATTAAATAAGTCAGTCACAGAGATGAAGTACAGAAATAAGAGAAAAGAGCAAAGCCTACAAGAAATGTGGGATCATGTGAAGCCGCCTAATGTGAGACTTATGAGTATCCCTGAGGGTGAAGAAGAAAACACGCAAGGGTTGGATAAGCTATTTGAAGATATAAGAGAGGAAAATTACCCAGGCCTTGCTAAAAATCTAGATATACAGGTACAAGAAGCTCCAAGGACCCCTGGAAGATTCAATGCAAACAGGAAGCCACCACGACATGCAGTCATCAGACTGACCAAAATATCCACTAAAGAGGCCCTTCTATGAGCTGTAAGGCAAAGGAAACAAGTAACATACAAAGGAAAGCCCATTTGAATAACGCCAGACTTCTCAGCAGAAACCTTACGAGCAAGAAGAGACTGGGGCCCCATTCTCACTCTTCTGAAACAGAATAATGCCCAGCCTAGAATCTTGTACCCTGCAAAACTAAGTTTTGTATATGAAGGAAAAATAAAGATATTCTCAGATAAGCAAAGGCTGAGGGAATTCACCAAGACAAGACCAGCCCTCCAAGAAGTACTTAAAACACAGTTACACACAGATCGATACAAGAAACACTCATGAATGTAAAACCACTCAAAAGTTAAAGATCAAAGGCCAGATACCACAATGGCTCAACAGAGAAAATAAAACAACAAAGTTCAACCCAATAGGATGGACAGAGATTTGCTCCACGTATCAGTTCTCTCGATAAATGTGAATGACTTGAACTCCCCACTCAAGAGACATAGGCTGGTCGAATGGATAAAAAAATACAAGCCAAGTATGTGCTGTCTTCAGGAAACACATCTAATCTGCAAGGATGCATTTAGACTCAAGGTAAAGGGGTGGAAATCAATATTTCAAGCAAACGGAAGCCAAAAGAAGGCTGGCGTGGTGGTTTTGATTTCAGATAACTTAGTTTTTAAATCAACAAAAGTAATGAAAGACAAAGATGGTCTCTATATAATAGTGAAGGGTACAGTTCAACAAGAAGACATAACAACTCTAAATATGTATGCACCCAACTTAGGTGCACCCAGATTCATAAAGCAAACTCTACTTGACAAACAGCAATACCATAATAGCCAGAGACTTCAACACCCCACTGACAGCACAGGACAGATCCTCCAAACAGAAAATTAACAAAGAAATAATGGACTTAAACAGAACTCTAGAACAAATGGGCCTGATATTTACAGGACGCTCTACCCAAAAACCACTGAATATACGTTCTTCTCATGAGCTCATGGGACATTCTCTATGATTGACCATAACCTAGGACACAAAGCATGTCTCGAAAAATTTAAAAAAATAGAAATCATACCATGTATCTTCTCAGACCACAGTGGAATAAAAGTAGAAATCAGCCCTAACAAAAACTCTCATTTCTACACAAAGTCGTGGAAACTAAACAATCTTCTGCTGAACGATTACTTCATAAACAAGGAAATCAAGATGGAAATCAAAAGATTCTTTGAACTAAATGACAAAGGACACACAAGTTACCAAAATCTGTGGGACACAGCTAAAGCAGTCCTGAGAGGAAAGTTTATTTCCATAAATGCCTATATCCAAAAGTCAAAAAGATCACAAATAGACAACCTAATGAATCAACTCAAAGAGGTAGAAAAACAAGAACAGACCAACCCCAAATCCAGCAGAAGAAGTGAAATTAATAAGATCAAATCAAAACTAAATGAAATTGACTAAAAGAAAACCTATACGGAAAATTAATAAAACAAAAAGTTGGTTCTTTGAAAAAATAAACAAAATTGACACGCCTTTGGTTAGACTAACGAAAAGCAGAAAAGAAAAATCTCTAATAAGCTCCACCAGGAACAAAAAAGGAAAAATTACAACTGATGCCACGGAGATACAAGATATAATCTATGAATACTACAAAAACCTTTATGCACACAAACCAGAAAACATGGAGGAAATGGACACATTTTTAGAAACACACAGCCTCCCTAGGTTCGACCAGGAAGAAACAGAATTCCTGAACAGACAATATCAAGTACTGAAATTGAAACAGCAATAAAAAATCTTCCTAAAAACAAAAGTCCCGGACCAGATGGTTTCACA